TAAAGCTCCAGCCACCATACTGCTAAACATTGTTTGGCACCGCTCTGCCATGGCTGTGTGGCAGTGACACGAGTGTTGTCTCTCCCTTTCAGATCTGTGCCAGGCCTTTCACCGTGTTCCGCTGGTGCCCCGGCGTGCGCATGCGCTTCAAGAAGACAGAAGTGTGCCAGACGTGCAGCAAGCTGAAGAACGTCTGTCAGACCTGTCTGCTTGACCTGGAATATGGTGTGTACCCAAAAAAATGGGAACTCAGAGAGGAAGCTGCTCTGCTTGCCTCTGGACTGAAAGCTGGTGAAATGTCTTTACATGTGTGTGCGTGTGATTGTCTCTGGGTGGTCTTTGAGAAGAGCAAGTCTTGATGCTCAGGTCTCCCCTGAGGTTCAGGGGCAGTGTGGTACACCCAGCACTGGATGATCTGTGGCTGATGCAGGTTGCACTAAGTATTTTTACTCTTTCAGTTTCATATGGATTTATTTGGGTTTCTTTTTGTTGTTGTTTCGTTCTAGGTTTGCCCATTCAAGTCCGGGATGCAGGACTCTCCCTGAAGGATGAGATGCCGAAGTCTGACGTCAATAAGGAGTACTACACCCAGAACATGGAGCGAGAGGTAGGATGTGTAGCTCCAAACATGCTCTCTGTGTGTGGGTGTGTGTAGGGGAGGAATGAACTAGCTTACCTTAAAATCATTGGCTTGCTCTGATTCTGTGCTCTAGTTTCCAGTGCTGATACACACATAGTTATTGGTGTTTTAACTCCTGTGTAGATCTCCAATTCTGATGGCACCAGGCCAGTTGGCGCTCTGGGAAAAGCTACTTCTACCAGCGACATGTTGCTGAAGCTGGCTCGGACCACTCCTTACTATAAACGTAACCGTCCTCACATCTGTTCCTTCTGGGTAAAAGGAGAATGCAAGAGAGGAGAAGAGTGTCCCTACAGGTACAGATACAGCTTAGACAATCTGTTCACTGTTCACAGCTCCTCTGGGGGTCTGGAGAGCAGGAGATGCTGCAGTGGACAGGAGACACAGCGGTGTGATCAGAATCAGTGCAAAGCCTGCGTTCCCTTGGCACACAGCCGGTCAATGAACCCTTGGTGTGTCAGGCTCGTTTGGGAGCAGTCAGCTGCATGGTCTGGCAGTGCTTTGCTGAAGCAGTGACTGCAGCTCTGCTCTTGCACAGTTCATTTTTCCTCTTCGTGGTGTCAGTCCCCTCAATCTGATCTTTGTTGTTTGAACAAGAGGCCATTTGAAATCCAGCTCTTGTATTTTGGAGTGCTGAACACCGAGCTGTCAGAAGTGCCATTCATTCAGAACTCAAGGCAGTCCTGGCTGCAGTTTAAGTTCTTGGGGCTTTTTATTCCCTTTTGGCATGTTTATGTGAACAAGGTTAAGCACATAAGTGACGGAGCCAGGCTCTTCTCAGTGATACCCAATGGTAGGACAAGGGGCAATGGGTGTGAGCTGGAACACAGGAGGTTCCGCTTAAACTTGAGAAGAAACTTCTTCACTGTGAGGGTGACAGAGCCCTGGGACAGGCTGCCCAGGGAGGGTGTGGAGTCTCCTTCTCTGGAGACATTCAAGACCCACCTGGACGCCTTCCTGTGTGATCTCATTTAGGTTCCTGCTCTGGCAGGGGATTGGACTGGATGATCTTTCGAGGTCCCTTCCAATCCCCAACATTCTGTGATTCTGTGACCAGAGGCCTTTGGAAAGGAAGGTGGCAGTTATAGTCATTTTAAATGTGATGCAGTTGTGACTGGTGTCATGAAATCCTTTGTTTGCTGAACCTTAGACATGAGAAACCTACAGATCCAGACGATCCTCTGGCTGATCAGAACATCAAAGATCGTTACTATGGAATTAATGATCCCGTGGCTGATAAACTTCTGAAACGAGCGTCAACCATGCCTCGTCTGGACCCCCCTGATGACAAGACTATTACTACACTGTATGTTGGAGGGCTTGGAGATACGATCACTGAATCAGATCTCAGGTGTGTTGGTGAATTCATATTGCCCTTGCCTTTTCATTTGATGCTTTGATTACTGCTCACCTTGAAGTGAGAGAATCTCTTTTGCAAGGAAATAAAGATAAATCTGCTTTTCAGTTTTCCTTAGTGGGGAACTGGTTGGTGGGTAAGTGCAGAGGAGTACCAGCTTGTTGGAGAACAGATAAACAAGCACATTTCAAATGCTTTGATTAAAATGTCTCTCTTTAAAGATGAGTCATCCTTCTGAGCTGTTGGGGACACTGTGTTATACTTTTTACAAGAAGGTCCCATAGCCTCTCTCTAGCTCCTGAGAAAAGCTGCTGTGGAGTTTTTATTGCTCCATAATCACACAGCAGGGCAAGAGACTTGGTTTCTAATGATTAATTTGAACTGATGATGGAGAAGAGAAAGGATCTGAGCACATATATTTCAGCACATGATGAGATCCTGTGTACCCTGCAGGTAGGAGGAGTGGGATTTCATGATAACTGTTTTTTTCCACTCCCCCCCCTCCCCCCCCACCGACAGAAATCACTTCTACCAGTTTGGGGAGATTCGGACAATAACCGTGGTGCAGCGACAGCAGTGCGCGTTCATCCAGTTCGCCACCCGGCAGGCTGCGGAGGTGGCTGCTGAGAAATCCTTCAACAAACTCATTGTCAACGGTCGCAGGCTCAATGTGAAATGGGGAAGGTGAGTGTGGGGGAAAGGAGCCTTGTGGGTGCTGCCACATTCATTCAGTTGATGCAGTCTTGGTGAGCAGGGTTGGCTGTTAGGCTGGAGTAGATACTGAGTTGGTAAATGTTTGAGGTCCTGTTATCATTTGGGTTTCTTTCAGCAGTGGGATCTGGGTTGGAGATTCCAAAAATTGCCTGAATTGTGGAAGGGATTTCCTGGCTGAGGGTTATGGATGAGTGTCTGTAGTTCTGCTTCTAATCCTGCTGTTGCAAACCCTGCACACTTTGTACCAGCTGTCTGTGATATTCTGTCAATTTTTAATCTTTGGCCTGAAGCAATGGATCTAGATTAGATAATGTGAAGCTATTGTGGTGTGAATATTTGCTTATGCTGCCTTTTCTCATCCCTGTCCTCAAACTTCTGTCTGTGTTTTAGGTCCCAGGCAGCAAGAGGAAAAGAAAAGGACAAGGAAGGTACTACAGAGTCTGGGATAAAGCTGGAACCAGTTCCAGGTCTTCCCGGAGGTAAGGGAGTTGTTTTAATCTCTGAAACACTTAATGCTGATGAGCTTCTGAGAGAGGCTGGTGTTCAACCTCTGAGAGCAGTAGCTGGGGTCAGGACGGTAGAGGCACTGGTGAGCCCAGAGCAGTTCCTCACAGTAGGTTTGCAGCAGATCCAGCTGGGATGGGAGGTGAGTTTTGCTTGGAAGGAAATTCTTGATGAAAAGAGAATTCTTTATGTGATGAGTGAAAAGTTAAAGCTGAATTAAAGTTACTCAGGTCTGAGATACTGGCAACCCACGCTTTTCGTGGCTTGGTTAATGTTTTCCTAATCCACTGAGCGTTGTGTGATGGGAAAAGCAAAGCTGGTTTCGGGTGAAGGGAAGTGATGACACTGCTGGAGTTTCAGTGTGGTCCTGCTTCTCTGATTCATTCGTGCAGTAGCAGCAGCGTTTTGACCTTGTGGAAGAACTGATTGTGCCTCCTCCCTGGAAGCAGATCCACACCTCTGTGTATATCACTGAGAGATTTTCCCATAACCACCCTGTACTTTTTCTGCAGCTCTTCCCCCTCCTCCAGCTGCAGAAGAAGAAGCTTCTGCAAATTACTTCAACCTACCTCCCAGTGGCCCTCCAGCCGTGGTTAACATTGCCTTGCCACCTCCTCCTGGCATTGCTCCGCCGCCACCTCCAGGTACTTGTGTTTCCCCTTCAACTGGGGGTGTCTGACTTGGTGTTAGACCATCTCATCCTCCTTGCTCAGCTGAGCTGTACCACTGATGCATGCCCTGAGTTGATTTTCCTCATCCCTGATCATACAATGTAAACTGATGATCTAAAATGAGCTGTCAGCACTGTTTAATTAAACTCAGCTGCCTGCTGGGGTATGTATTCACTTGCAAATTCTCAGGCATGTCAGAGATCCCTGTTACTGGTACCGAGACCTACTCAGTGCTTTTGCTGGCTCTGTAAATGCCACATTAACCTGAACTTCAAAGGGTAATTCTGCAGCTGGTTGAATGCCAGCCTGTGCTTGGCTCTGTGTATAAATCTATCCAGAGACCTTCTTTTTATGGGATGTCAGGCTCTTGTGGATGTGTTTGCTTTGCTCCACAGTTGAGTAGAAATCATTTAGATTGGCATTACAGACACCTGTCCAGTCCCCCCCAACAGCTTTTATTTGTGAGTGAGGGTGTGTGTTGGGTAAGGACTGTTCCCAGTTGCACTGGAAAAGAGGGGAAGGAGTTTGGGGATTTGAGGAATCATGGGAGATGTTCATCTTTCCAAGGCACAGCTGTCAGCCAGCTGTATTCTGTCGGTAGTTTCAAGCAGTATTACATCTGCATTGGTGTTTCTGTTGCTTTGTCTAAACCCCAACAACTTTATTCTTGCAGGTTTCGGACCACACATGTTCCACGCCATGGGGCCTCCACCTCCCTTCATGAGAGCCCCGGGCCCCATTCACTGGGAGATGTTCATCTTTCCAAGGCACAGCTGTCAGCCAGCTGTATTCTGTCGGTAGTTTCAAGCAGTATTACATCTGCATTGGTGTTTCTGTTGCTTTGTCTAAACCCCAACAACTTTATTCTTGCAGGTTTCGGACCACACATGTTCCACGCCATGGGGCCTCCACCTCCCTTCATGAGAGCCCCGGGCCCCATTCACTCCCCGTCTCAAGACCCCCAGAGGATGGGTGCCCACGCGGGGAAGCACAGCAGCCCCTAGCACGTCCTGCCCTCCTCATCGTTTAAGTAAATGCTATTTTCTAGTTACCATGGTAGCGCCATATGTTGAGCTGTGGGTGAGCTAGAGAAGCCTTATTTCCCTGCTTGCAGACACTGGGCAAGCTGAGCTCCGTGTCTCTGTTAGTTAATTGGATCATTAATGCATCCCAGATCTTTCATTT